TTTAAGTTTAAATAACCACATGTGCTTAGTGGCTACTGTGTTGGACAGCACTGAATAATGTAGGGATGTTGTCTTAAATGATCTGTAGCAACTCTCTTAGATAGTCTAAGCTATTCAGTTTTACAAGATTCATTCAAAGACATTCAGAATGCTCAGTCAGGGCACCCTGGTCTCACCAGAAATGATAATCCAGATAGCTTTGTATGCACTGGGTAGGCCCTGGTTCAGGAAGAGCAAAAGTGATGAGAGCAATATTTTCACAACTACACTGATACTTTTCATTGTCTCTGGGTTTTCATAAGCTGGAACTAAAGGGTGAATCAAGACAATCCCAGTCTTTATGAATGAATGTACGTGTATAGATCTGGGCTATGAGTATAGTAACACTCTTTATCTACCTTTCCACAGTGCCATTACTATTGATTGTAGAATAATTTCAGCTCTAGAAAGAAAAAAAGACTCCTCTATTTTGTGGTAAAACAAATATATCTTGAGAAAGACTCTCTCTGGCCTGTCTTCTCATTTGTACTATGAGAGAGTTGGACTAGATTTATTGATTTGACAAACCAATCAAGGCAATGAGCTAACAGCTAGGGACACAATGAGCTGGGGAACTGTCATACACTCAAGAACTCAATCTAAAAAAGTGTCTAAATAAAATAATTTCTCAAGGCACCTTTTCCTGTCTATGAGTTCATGTAATCTATAAATCCTATGACATCATTAATGTTTTGAAAGTTGTATGAATGAAATCTTTTAACTGACGATCCAAATCATACTTCACTAAGACAGAACATTGAAGAAAGAAATTAAGGAAGATATAAACAAATGGGAGCATATACCACGTTCATGGATTGAAAGAATTAACATCATCAAAATGTCCATACTATCCAAAGTAATTTATAGGTTTAACACATTCCCTATTAAAATACCAATGAGAGCCCTGGCTGGTGTGGCTCAATGGACTGAGTGCCAGACTGCAAAGCAGAGGGTTGCTGGTTTGATTCCCAGTCAGGGCACATGCCTGGGTTGCAGGCCAGGTTTCCTGGTGTGGGGAGCGCAAGAGGCAACCACACATTGATGTTTCTCTCCCTGTCTTTCTCCTTCCTTTCCCCTCTGTCTAAAAATAAATAAATAAAATCTTTAAAAAAATAAAGTACCAATGACATATTTCACAGATATAGAACAAATATTTCAAAAATTTATATGGGACCATAAATGACCTCAAAAATCCTCAGCAATTTTGAGAAAGAATAACAAAGTAGGAGGAATCACAATACCTGATATCAAATTATATTACAAGACTACAGTAATCAAAAAAGCCTGGTACAGGCATAAGAACAGACACACTGATCAATGGAACAGAACAGAGAGCCCAGAAATAATCCCATGTCTCTATAGTCAATTACTATTTGACAAAGGAGGTAGGACCACATAATGGAGTAAAAATAACCTCTTCAACAAATGGTGTTAGGAGATCTGGACAGTTACATGCAAAAAAGTGAAACTTGACCACCAACTTATACCATACACAAAAATATAAACTCAAGCTGGATAAAAGACTTAAATATAGGTTGTAATATCATGAAAGTCCTAGAGGAGAACATAAGCAGGAATATCTTAGATATTCCACGCAGCAATATTTTCACTGATATGTCCCCTAGAGCAAGGGACATAAAGGGAAGAATAAATAAATGGGACTGCATAAAATTAAAAGGTTTCTGCACAGCTAAAGAAAACATCAGCAAAATGAAAAGAAACCCACTCTATGGGAAAATATATTTGCAATGATATGTTGAACAAGGGTTTGATCTCCAAAATATATAAAGAACTCACACAACTCCACACCAGGAATACAAACAATCCAATTAAAAAATGGGCAAAGGACCTGAACAGACACTTCTCCAAGGAGGACATATGGAGGGCCCAGAAACACATGAAAGGATGCTCAGCATCACTAGCCACCAAGGAGATGCAGAATAAAACCACAATGAGATACCACTTTATATCTGTCAGAATAGCCATCATAAACAAATCAACAAACAACAAATGCTGGCAACATGTGGAGAAAAGAAAAAACTAGTACACTGTTGGTGGGATTGCAGACTGGTGTAGCCACTGTGGAAAGCAGTATGGAATTTCCTCAGAAAACTAAAAATGGAACTGCCTTTTGACCTAGCAATTCCACTGCTGGGATTATTTCCTATAAGCCCTGAAACACCAATCCAGAAGAACCTATGCACCCCAATGTTCATAGCAGCACAATTTACAATAGCCAAGTGCTGGAAGCAACCTAGGTGCCCAGCAGTAAATGAGTGGATCAAAAAACTATGGTACATTTACACAGTGGAATACTATGCAGCAGAAAGAAAGGAGCTCCTACCCTTCACAACAGCATGGATGGAACTGGAGAGCATTATGTTGAGTGAAATAAGTCAGTCAGAGAAAGACAAATACCATATGATCTCACCTATAAGTGGAACCTAATCAACAAAACAAACAAGTAAGCAAAATATTGCTTTGACATTGAAATAAAGAATAAACTGACAGTGACCAGGGTGGTGAGGTAGTGGGAGTGGGTTACTTGGGGAAAGAAAGGGAAGGGTCAAGTCAAGGAGCATGTATAATGGACTCAGAGACAGAGACAACAGGGAGCGGGGGAAAGGATTGAATGTGGGAGGTGGGGGTGAGCAGGGCAGGGAAAGTAATGTGGGGGGAAATGAGGACAAGTATAATTGAAGAACAGTAACAATTTTTAAATAATAAAAATTTAAAAAAGAACCAATCATACTTCACTAAGAAAGAGTCCCCACTAAATTACATATTATTGCTCCCTCCCTTACCATTACCTGCCTGGTACTCTCTACCACAATAATAAAGGAATACCTGAAAGAGTCTGAGAAAATGAGAAAGAGTAGAGAGATGGCAGCAGATAGGCATCAATCTGGACATGTCACCATTTCCTGAAATAACAGGAAATGTGAAGATAAGTATGTAATGAAGATGTACAAAAAAGAAAAGAAAGGACAGGAAGGTAAGTAGATGTTTTAAAATCTGCTGTCAATTATAGTAAACATGGTAGAAACATGCAACTGTACAAGGCAAAGAAAGACCTACCGTATTTTGCCATGTACAATGCACATTTGTGGCGCAAACTTCTAGGGAAAAAATTTTTTTGTTTTAATTTTAAATTCAATATTTTATTTACTTATATTTAGAAACGAAACCAACTATCGGATGCAAGGGTATTATTTTGCATATGGATATCATTATTGCTTTCCAGAGTTACACTTGTAACACATAAGCATAAATAAAAGAATTAAAAACATTTCTGCAGATATGGAATTAGTACTATCCATGTATAATGCACATCCTTATTTTTTCCCTCAAAAATTTGGGCAAAAATGTGCGCATTAAACATGGCAAAATCCAATGACTGGGGATGGGTGGAGTTCTGCCCTTCCTGTCACTTAGAAAGGAGCAAAGCAACCAAGGAAGGAAGAGAATCAGGGAGGACACAGAAGCAACAAAGAGCATCCTGTCTCTGCCATAGCTGTTGCAGTGCCATCTTGAAAGTCAAGGATCTAGCCCTTTTCTCCTTTTTTTCCTTACATGAATATGAACTACACTGCCACCACACTTCAAGATGGCCAACAGTCCAGACTGGAGAGGAAGGGATAGCTCACCCTTTATCTCCCATATGAATTTCCCCTAGAAGCCTGGGAATCCAGCTATAGCTGAAAAAATTTGAGTTATAATGTCCTTGGAGCTAGTGAAGTTTCCCATATGGATGATTAAAGTGTCTGGTCTTGGGTCCAATTGTTATCTCCCCCTTTAATTTGGTTTGTTGGCCTTTCCCCCCAACTACTACCATGACCATGAATTTCTATGAACAAAGATGAATATTTCAGAAACCTTAGAGCCTTGGCTCCAGGTTGGCCATGAGCTCATTCTGGCATCTACAGATGCAGGATCTGAGCACATGGCTTCATCCCTGCAGCATGCAGCAGGCCACAGGGATGTTGCTGGGTTCACATTGTACTGAGTACAACCAAATTAGTTAGTAGTTATTGGGCCAGTTTTTGGGGTTTTTTAAAAATATTTATTTATTTATTTATTTATTTATTTATTTATTTATTTATCTTTAGAGGGGAAGGAGAGAGGGAGAGAAACATCAATGTATGGTTGCCTCTAGTGCATCCCCTGCTGGGAACTGGCCTGCAGGGAACTCGCTTGCAACCCAGGCATGTGCCCTGACTGGGAATCGAACCACAATCCTCTGGTTCGCAGGCCTGTGCTCAATCCACTGAGCTACACCAGCCAGGGCTTGGGCCAGTTTTTAACGTGTTAAAAAAAACATAAATATGTCTATCCCCACACAGACTATCGTATATACTATATAACTCAATATAACTCATGTAACCAACTCACATCAGGGCTTCTCCATTTGGTTCATGACCTCAAGATGCTACTCTAAGCTCAAAAAAGCACACAGCACAATGTCACGTCCCTATTCTCCAGAAGCCAGGGAGAGCATCCTACAGTTCAACACCCCAGAGTCTAACCAAAGGTCAAGAGCATTAACCTGGCTTCTGAATTCCTAACCTGGGGCCTGCTGACAGCGAGCCCAGTCATTCCAGATCATTCTCAGTGTGACAGAAAACAACCCACTTTTAATTCTGTGGAGGCAATGTATTGTGGGAGTTTCAGAAAACCAAGTTCAAACTAAGGCAATTATTTTCCAGGAAATAAACCACCAGAAAAGAAAAGCCTTTTTAGAATGTGGACAGTGTTACAAGTGTCACAAGTGTCATAATGGGTGAGGGGGGGGCAGAGAGAAAGAATTTATCTTGCCTAGGATCAAGTTTCACATAATGGCAGTTAGTTTAGTCTATCATCTTTATCCGCCTACAAATAGTCTAACCACCCCCCAGGGCATAAAAATCAGAGAGAACTAGGCTGGACAGAGTACATTCCTTCCTGCTTCCCATCTCAGAGCAGCTGTGTGATTTCCTGAAGACTCTGTTGCTGGTGCTAGGGATAAAAACTCATTGACACACACAATAACCTCCAAGTCTCCAGTTTCTATTTTTCCACCCTCCCTCACCCTACCCCTCCCTTGTTTGGCACCAGAGGAGCCAAACTCACCCATGCTTTAAACAGTTTGAAGACCAATCTGAAAGAGGAAGAAGGATCTGTATACATTGACTAGCATGTGCCCTGCCCCCTCCGCTCTTAAAAACAGCAGCAGCCCATCTTTTCAAGGAAGCTTGCCTGAAGAGCAGGCGTCCTGTGAATGAAGTGCACTCTCAGGGTCCTACAGGTTATTTAGATCCACTGTGCATGCAGATCACCAATGACGGCTTAGCTGTGCAAGAAACAGGTACACTGGATTTACTGAAGACTTGGAGTTTGCTTCTGAGAGCAAAAGCAAAAGGACCCTAAAGTGTCAACCTTGAACTGTGCAGGTAAGGAAATTCAACGTTTCCATGCGAGGACCAGAACCGTTTGTAGTCAAATTTTGCTGATTTTAGCAAATTCCTGGGAGCTTGGGGATCTGTCCTACCTGCTTTCAATTGGGGTGTTTTATTTATTGGTCAGAAATGTGATAATCTAATCAGTCTGTCAACAAGGGTTGCTCAGTGCTTCTGCTAGGTGGGGGCTCATTGCAGCAAAATACAGAGGGGACACTCCCCAAGCCTCTAGCACCTTTGCAATTCAGTCAGAAATGTTAAGGCGTATTTTCAAATCTTATTTTAAGGGCTTCATGGAGTTTCTCTAATCTGTAGTGGCAGTTTCCTTCAATGTTGAAAGAAAATATATAGTGACCGCTAAAGGTAAAAAAAAAAAAAAAAAGTGGAGAATTATCTGGTATTTTCACAAGGTAGTTTCCCCTTCATTACCCGACTTGAACCTGTCAATATCGTGCTATTTAGACAGGATAAGCTTTATGATCCCTGTTTTGCACATAATAAAAGGGATTCGGAGAAGTGGAGAAATATTCTGGAAACATACCACACAACTAGAAATTGGCAAATTGGGACTAGAGACTGAAAATAGAAAGCTCTCAAAACTATAAATGAATATAAGGAAATTGCATGATCTGTGTAGCATCTTAAGACATAAGACATATACAACACAGAGCGGGTTTACCCAGAGCCAGCACTTCAAACATTTCAATCAAAATCATTGGCCAGGAGTGTTCTTTATACTGGACAGCAAAGAAGCTCTTTGTAAGGGTTAACAAATGGCTTGGTGGGTTCCATTTGTAGCTAAAACAAGGAAAACGCTTGACTTTTTAATGCAGTGGTTCTGCCCTGAAGTGCTCTGATTGTTTTGAAATCTTGAGAAAGGCCATGGCACTGTATATGTATCAGGTGATTATTAAAAAACTAAATCTAACTAAACCTGGACTTGGGACTACACTGCATGCCCATGAGTTCTTGCAAAGAAGATCAATCAGGCTGGGAGCCATGAACCCCAAAAGAATGGTAGGCTAAAGAAAATTTGCAGACTGAGTCCCAGTCGGAGTCCAGCATTTCTGTCTTCCTAACCTGGAAACTATCAATCTCATTTTCTACTACCTTTTCCCTGCTATCTTTAATCAAACTTTTGACGTGTTGAAGAACTACTTATCTGGTACAAAAATCAAGATTTTTCCATGGTGCAGGAAATTATCAGTTTGCGTTTGCTGCATCATTGGGATTAAGGAATTAAGGGAATGATCCTTAAGGGACATATTAGACCTTGTGAAGCTAATGGCATGAAGGATAAGCATCACAACCAACCGTTCAGATAGCATAGCTCTGGGTGGATCACTGCTTTGACCTATTTTGCTATGTCTTATGTTCTTATTACAATTTCTCAAATACGCTGAAATCCAGTTAAATAAGTGTTGATTAAGCGCAGTACAGCCTGTGGCACCAAGCAAGGCAAGCCTAGTCCCTAGCCTTGGGGAACTTACACATGGCCCTGCAGGGCACACCAAGGTACCTGATCAGGCTACATGAAGGAATTGAGTTGAGGAATCACAGAAAATGAATCTGGATAGAAATGTAGGACAAGCTTATTTGACCTTTCATTCCAGGCACTTTTTAAATGAGAAATCTCATTAGCAAACTTGGAATAAGTGATAAAAAAACATTTTGAGATGTGTTTCATAACCTGACTATGCCTGGAGAGAATTGGAGATGAGAGAACACTAACAGAGCAGAATGTAATGAGGCTCAAGAGTAGGTGGATGGCAGTGAAAGTAGACCATAGAGGAACTCAAGAGACATTCATAAGGAATAATAGAGAGAAATTGGTGAGTTATTAGATACAAGCAGCATAGGACAAAAGTCAGAGACATCTCTGAAATTTGGAACCTGTGGGATCTGGGTAGTGGTGCCACTACTCTTCCGAGAAATAGGTAATTTGGGGATAGAAATGGAAATTGTAGGATATGATTAGTTCTGTTTGGACCTATTGAGTTTGAGGAGATGGCAAAATTTCCAAGAAGCAATGTCTTTTTTTATTTATTGATAGGGTAACCAACCTGAGGTGAGTATCTCTGAGAACAGATAGTTTTTAGGGGCTTTTATATTTTCAAAGATTTTATTTATTTATTTTTAGAGAGGGGAAGGGAGGGAGAAAGACAGGGAGAGAAACATCAATGTGTGGTTGCCTCTCACACTACCCCAACTGGGGACCTGGCTCACAACCGGGCTTGTGCCCTGACTGGGAATTGAACCAGCCTTTCAGTTTGCAGGCTGGCACTCAACCCACTAAGCCACACCAGCCAGTGCCAAAAAAGCAATGTCTTACAACTGGTTGGAAGGAATGGCCCCAAATGTGAATGATGGAAAAGAGGTGCAGGCCACAGTTACATCTGGGGAGTATGATTGATTGTCAAGGTCATATAAATGGCTCAACTACATTTAAAAGTTAAATTTAGTAAATCTAAAAGATGGACTGACAACTGAAATTTGTGCAGTGCCTACACTTTCAGGCCAGAGGAAGAAGACGGTCCTAACAAATAAGAGCCACAGAAATACAACTCTCTTCAAAAGATAGCAAGTATCTTGAGGGAGGGTATCGGGTTACTTCTTCTTTTAAATCTCCCTTTCCCAACAAGAACTAGCACAGGGCTTCATCCACATCATAAGCACTCAATAAATACTAAGTTATTCTAACATAAGCAGCATGGAGAATTTTTGCTTTAAGCCAATGTTCTGTGTAAACCCTGCAACCTACTGGTGGCTGCTGTTAACCACCTCGCTGCTTGAATTTCAGTGGAAAAGAAATGGCCTTGGAGGACTGGGAGTTTATGCCAGCTTTGCCTTGTAATCAGCTACGTGTTCTTTAGCCAGTTACCAACTATAAGTTTTGCTGGGTTTCCTCATGTAGCAACTATAGTAATAAGCTTATAGGAATATTTTTTTTAGATCTTTTGAAATAATAAGATAACTATGAAAGAAACTGGAAAATACAAACCACCATCTAAAAGGGTTTTGTTTGAAGTCCATTCCAGGTGAATGAAATATACAACAGGCTTGACAGCATGTGGTGGGAGTGGGACCAGTTACTTTCTGCCCCCAAAACACACCATCGGCTCTGGGGGCCTTACTCCAAGTATCGGCAATTCCATCCAAATCCTAGGGCCTGTCATAAGATCCAACCCTCTGGTTACCACTAACTGTACACTACTTGTGCAAGCCTCAACATGAATTTTGAAAGGAATACAATAGTTAACAGGTGTCTCTGTGAAAACACAACCCACCTTTATTCATTAGCTATTGCTTCCATTAAGCCCACTGTCCTTAGAATTAAATGCTAAGGACCAAAACAATTGTTACAAAAAGTTCTGAATGGAGCACAATATTCTACTGTGCTAAAGCCACTTGTCCAACCACAGATTTGGTTATAATACAAATCATGTTCCCAGAATATATAGGTAGGTATAGTGCACGTGTCTCTCAATGAAATGCAGACATAGTCATGTCTGTCTCTCACACCAATGTTATCTGGGTTTCAGGCTACATAGATGTCTACATGGTATGATTTGAAAGGCAGTGAGAAACAGCTTTTCCAGTTCAGCCAGAGTAAGTCAACTTGCAGGGGTCATATTCCTGCCAATCAACCCTACAAAAGTGACTGATGAGTCGCTTTTGACTCAGAATGTCAACGTGTTGATTTGCACTGAGGAAATACAACTGCTAAGAGGTCTGATAAACTCAGTGGGGAGTAGCATATCATTATCCTTCGAGAAAAGGCAATAAAGAAAGCCGTTTAACTAGATTATAAATTCAGACATCTTAAGTCCATTAATTCATGTTACAATGTTGGTGCTAAGGCACCATTAATGGACAATTATTTTTGCCTTCAATTGAGAACTCCTTATAGGTTGATGGAGAAGACCACTATTTCTATATAAGTTCTGCACCCCAAAACTCTTTTACCTTGCTTCCTCGTTTCATCTCGATCCTATCATACCTCCATTCTTTGTGCCCTACCGGTTTTGCCTGTATATTTAAGGGAAGTTCATATGAAAGAAAAGAGGAAAAAATATCAATAAATATTCAGGAGAAGTCAGAAAGGGGCCCTGCTAGAAATCAGGGGAAAGAGACAAAACAGAAGAGTAAATCTAGACCCTTGGTCACTTAAATGCAGAGTTGGTTTTCCTTTTGATGAATAAAATTCTATCTTATTTAGAGTGTTTGTGGAGTCAGTATATCCCGGGCCTTTGAGCTCCCACTGAAACGTAGCTGATGGAAAAGGAAATGGAGCTGAAGTCCAGACTTATAGTCCCCTGGTATATGTGGGCTTTCTTTTCTTTTCATCCTAAAAAGGAAAAATACCCAGTTTAGAATCACATTTTGAGATGTCTGACATACAAAACTTCTTGAGATTTATCATCCACTTGATATTGACTGCCTCTGTTTTTGCAATAGGGCTGTTTTGGTGTTGTCATGGATTCAACACAGTACATGGAAGGAAGCTAACAATAATACTACCAGCATCTCTGCTATGCACTTACTCCAAACCTCCTATGCAGTTCAGGCCTCAGAAGATATTAAAAGCTTCTTTTCATTTCAAATCGGTTACCCTTTCTATTTAACCTAAATTTGAATTCTTGTTTAAGATGAAGACCTTCAATCAAAAGCAATCTCCTGCAGGGGGTAGCCAACCCGCAGCCCGCAGGCTACATGTAGTCCCGGGTGGCTGTGAATGTGACCCAACACAAGATCGTAAATTTACTGAAAACATGATGAGATTTTTTGGGTGTGATTGCATGTCACAATGTGTTTCACATGTGGCCCAAGACAACCCTTCTTCCAATGTAGCCCAGAGATGCCAAAAGGTTGGACATCCCTGTAAGAGAATAATTATTTTGCTTCCAAGATGCAGGCATCTAAATACCAAGAAGTTAGAGGCAGTCCTCAGAGTTGGCCGTGAGCAGAACTTAAAGGGATTCCAAGTCTCTGGT